GCCCGGCGCATTCTGCTGGGTGAGATGGGAATTGATCTCCAAGGTTTCTTCCAGATTACTACTGAGTGTTTGACCCGGGGCCACTGCTGGATACTGTTTAAACCTAGGAGACTCGGGCTTCGTTCTAATATTACCCTATAGACTCTTGCGGTGTACGACTGGAACTCCTTGCCTGATTCTGTCGTTAACGCACATACTGAGGAATGTTTTAAACGACTATTGGATTTAAGATTATTGAATTTACAGGAATCCTATCGTTTTTTTATGCAACTGCGGTAACCTAACTTGTTGACTGCTGTTGCGCAGAGACCTGCTATGAGTGGGAGATGACGGAGTTGACAAAGATCATTCCTTCTGCTCTCTACATTCCAATTATTCCAATGACACCTCGACAAACTAACGGTTGCATCACCCTATACCTCCCTTTATATGCACCTAAAGCATGTGCATTACTCAGATTTTTATCGTTTTTTCTGCATCTGTTCTATTCGATAAGGATTACGCACCAGGCTTTCTGTTTTAGCGTATTGAATTGTCCTGACCGTGTTACTTTTTCACAATTTCTCCAATGCGCCAGGATCAAACCGATCGCACTAAATTACTTTTGAGGTACGTTTTTTCATAGGTGTAAGATATTCACAGAGCTGTTTCTGATTCGATTAGACGTTTAGATTCTGTTTATGCCAGTGGAAAAGCTATCAAAACTGTTTTCAGCTACGAGGCCTACGGCTATCGGCTCAGGTGCGTCTACACTTCTAAGAAATTTTCATCATTTTCGTTCTTTAGGTTAAAAGAGACGTTGCAAAAACTTATGTTTATCGACTCCGGTTTTCATACTCGTAAAGCTGAAGAACTTATTTGGCGGAAAGTGTTTTACGAACCTCTGTATCTGTATAAACTTTACGTTAAAGTTAGACTACGATTTTGTTTTATTGCTTTTTTAGAATAATGACACTGTTGACCACATCAATGAATTTGAATCCGCACTGAAAATGCACCTCATAAGTGGGGTTGGCTACTATCAGTCACTTGTACTGTATTCACAACCGGAATCTTTCAAAGACCAGAATGCACTGGGCGCTTGGCTGCCCGTGCCGTTTCACATTCCCGTATATGCAGCAGGTGTGCTGTCAGCTCGTGTCTATTCTCACCTGTCCAATACTGTAGGCGGAGCTTATGAGCCTGAATTACAGCCCCAATCTTCGTCTCATTCCGCACTATCTGATGGGAAACTGATTCAGAAGTACCTCATGTACATTGGGGATTTGTGTGAGTTATAATCTCACACGTAACATCTTTTTTAGTTCGTTATTTGCTGGAACTCGGTGAACCGATTGGCAAGCCATTGGCCTATAGTTATTATAATGCTGCGCTCAACTTTGATCCAAACACTGGTAAGTTAGTAGCGACTGTCCTTACTGAGTCACTTCTTTTTGGACCATTATCTCACTATGTTCTGCAATTTTCCCTATGATCATCTAGTTCTATACCATGTCTGAGCTTTCACACTTGAGAAATCCGTTTCATTGTTATCACCCGAGTACCGTAAGACAGCTATTTGTTGTGGGCAATCGCACCCGAGGTGGCGGTTGTGATTCGGAGGTTTGCTTGAGGGACTCCACCCGGAGCCTTTGGCTCAATAGCCTGAGCCACAAGGCAGTGGGTGATTTGGAGGTTTGCTTGAGAGACTCCGCCCGGAGCCTTTGACTCAATAGCGTGACCCACACGGCAGTGGGGAGCAGATCCAGCTCGGGAATGTGATTGCAGAGGCAGATTGGGATATACTTGAGGTCCGTCACACACAGCCTTGGAGGTACTGGAACAATTCCTATAAGTTTTGAGACCGTAGTATAATACGCACCTGCGACCACAGCCAGACGCACGTGGGTTTTGGCGGGTTTGCACCAATTTGACCAGGGGCTGCCTGGCTTGAGGCGGGCAGTAGCAAACCATTGAGCACCCGGATGTATCCTCCCAACGTCAGAGACAATACGTGGCACTCGTACCCTACGCCGATCGAGCTGTGAGATTATAACCCGTAAACCTGTTGTCTCCCATGGCTAGGTTTTACGGGAAGAGGGTCATCGATCACTTCCTAACCTCCGAAGAGGATGGTCTGGAATACTGGTAAGGCGCCCACACCTGACGGCAGAACTTCTCGGGTATTCAGCCAAAGCCTTCGATCAAATGTACGCCCGAAAATCAGCGGGTCTAGCATATGGTCAGTTCACTGACTCATGCGGATTGGTGTCCTGGATCTTAGCAGGGAGAAGGTTGTAACTCAACTCCCACCCAGCGGTCACCACGAGGAGGCTTCCAGGACATGAGCCCATGGCACAACAGTAGCAGCAGTGGGTAGATCCTCTGTCCGGATCTTCCACCACCAGCCTCAGCACACCATAGACTCTCCCGCCACTTTATATATATATATATATATATATATATATATATATATATATATATATATATATATATATATATATATATATATATATATATATATATATATATATATATTGGCGGGAGAGCCTACGGTGCGCTGAGGCTGGTGGTGGCTATATCCTGACAGATGGTCTACCCACTGCTGGCCGAGTGGTCTGCACGTACGGTTTGCAGTCAATCCGTCACCGGCTCTAATCCGCGTAGGCATGGGCGTCCTCACGGTGTACTCAGCCCATGTGCAGCTGTTGGTGTTCGCGCGGCAGCGAAGCGCCTTTACAGCGTACGGCTGACACCTTTTTATTTTCTTTGTTTCCGGTTCGTGCTGTTATGATCATCTCACTTGACGGTGCTACTTTACTTCTTTTCCCTTGTCCCACCTCGATTCCATTCTTCGAAACTCCGAGCTAACATCATACTCGCGCCTCATTGAAATCTGAGTTCGCTGCTCAGTGGGATAGATCCACCATCACTGTAACGTGCACTGATGAGCAAAAGCGAAGCGGTCCAATTACTTTACTCCACTCCTACTTTGTGTTGTTGCTATTCAGAGCTATTCACGTAGTACCATTTTCAATTTGCTACCTAATCGTTTGTTTGTTAGATATTCTTCGGATCCATTTTTATATGTACTTGTTTTTTGTCGCAGGCCTACTTCACAACCAACTTGGTATTCTGGATGTGGGTCGATGTTATGGGCTGAACGCAATATTCCATTATCTACGCTGTTTATGCTCAGCAACTCCTTTTGAAGACGCAAGGCGCAATTTGTTAACCGTTTTGGCAAAGAATCAGATTCGCTACCAGAAGTTGTTCGGTGAGAAGCCCGTCTTTGGGCTCTACATACGAAAACCAAGTCGGTACAGGTATGTTTCCTGATTACCTACTTGGCTAGCTTTCACCGAATTTGCCAAGCGGTCAATCGCTTACTCATGGTGATCTACTCAATTACCTGGTAACCTAACCCCTACTTGAGCATCGCTACTTAACAGAACGCCACCTTTCATTTGTTATAATACATTGGTTGCATGTATGCGATTTATATCAACTCGCAACCCGCGATTCTTTGTATACACCATTGGAATTGCGAAGGGAACTTCCAGCTTCAACGAATAGGGACGTCAGTGCGTCATCGGTTCATCAGAGTCTATACATTTGATACTATTGTACTGACATGTTTGGTTCTTGGTTGCTGTAGACCTGAAGTGGTTGACGTAAGGAGCACTTTTCGTACCTTATTAGACCTTTTAGCGATACTTGAGTTGATTCCTTGGTGTTTATTGCCAGGACTTCTGACTATAATGCCACACTCAATTCGATCGGACCACCCGGGACACCATCCGAACGCGTTTGGACCCGCTCATCCCATCTAGGTCATTGGTTGCGATATTAGCGGAATTCGTTCTCCATATCCTCACATGAGATTGAGCGAGTTCAATAAACGTCTTCTCTGTAGACTTTGCCATAGAACACGGCAGTGTGTTTGTTTTGAACCCCACTCGATTGATGTGGGGCTTTAGCGCCACAAATTGTCTTTGACAGTTGTTAGCTGCTATCGTCTCTCACTGGCTTTCTACCACCCACACGAACCCAGTCGGCTTCAGCTCACCAAGTTGTGAGCCCTCATCGGTGATTGTTCCCAACTTCTTCAGGTTGCATATGACTGACCCCGATTCGGTCTTTACTTACATGCTCATACTGTCTTGCAAGTCAAACTTGAGTCAAAATCTCCAAGCGGTATCTGTTAGGTAAACTTCCATTCACCCCACTCCTTCACTGCTTGGATCGAGGTGGGTACCCTCGAGCAAATCCCTTTCATAAGAACATTTCGCCTCCAAACGCCGTACGCGGTTCGTATATCATTCCTTTAATCGGTGTATCTACGCTTTGCCGCATCCAGCAGTACGTATGCTTTATGACAGCCACACGAGCTCTAACAACGCATTCAGTGATCTTTTCTTTGATGAAATTGCTGCATCTAACTCGACAATTCATATGCTCAATCCGTTCGAGCGGTTGTTCGGTGATGGTGCTAACTGGTGGCCAGTCGGCCTTCGTATTCTAAAGGGGCAGAGCACATCTCGAAACGTATAACAATGTGCGTTAGTTAATTGTATAGCGCTATGTCTTACGCTTATTCTATACTTAATAGTCGCTCACATAACAAAACGTCTACATTCCAACTAAATATAGTAGGGCAGAGGGGTCATTCATGATCAGCTCGATCGCACAGTTAACGCGAACATAAGAGTTAGAACAGCCACTTGTCGTAATCCCGGAGGCATTTTCCCCTGGACACCTACTTGTCCATGTGTAGCCGGTTCGCGAGCGTCACGGTGACACGTTAATAGGTAAGAAATCGATAAGTTTTGCTTCCTGTTATCCTTACCCTCCTCTCCGGAATTCTTCCCTCTTCCGTGCTTCCTTAGCTGCTTTCTTACATCGGCCTCCTACTAGGCGGTTGAGCATCCAGCCTTTCTTTTGTGTTGCAGCTCTGGGTTCGTTACGGTCCGTCATACTATTCGAAAACGGAAGAGCTTGGAACGCCGGACCGGAGAAATATTACACGTGAATTCGTACTTGGAATGCAAATACATTTCCCTAGCATGTCTTTCGAAAACACGCACTGCCACAAATGGGTGCCATTAAGCAAACTTGTGTTAGCCCTCATGTCAAGGAAGATTAGCACAGTAGACTCTTTGATGATTCTGAAGCACCTGGCCAGAGGTAAAAGTGTGGTCAGTGCACCCTTTCCGAGGTTTGAGCTAGGTTGATTTTCACTTAATCGAATCTTACGTGTATCGGCCGGCCTCTGCTGTTCGTACGTAAGATGTTTAAAAATATTTCGCCCTCTAAGATAAAGGCATTAATGATGGCTTACCTCTGATAGTATAATCGCTGACGTATGGTTGCTTGTTTGACCACACCGACTCTCGCATCGTGCGTTGTTTGCGCGCCCGGGGTCTGGATGGAAGGAGGGTAGGAGAAACGATGACTTGTTCAAGAGGAATGAAATCCCTCACTTCGAACTTGGCGTCGGTTGGTGTGCCCTGACTGCCTGGTTTGAGACCGAAAGACGATTGTTTGGATACACTAGCTAAAGTAGCGAAGAGCGGATCTCAGTGGCGTTTGTGTTGTGAGTCACTTTGTCCCTCCCTATTTAGCTTCCCCCTCCAACAACAATCTCAAACCCTATGCATAATGTGATATTTAGCAGTATGACACGTTTTATAGCTTTTTAGACTGTATTGTTTAATCTCTTATCTTTTTTGTATTGGGGCACTTTAGCGGAGGTGTGTTTCTCACTCTCGGCTAACGTGTATTGATGAGCGTGATGATTGTTTGACCACTTGCGTTGAAACTCATCCCCAGTGACCGTTACTTTATTACCTTCATCGGCCTGAACCTAATGAATTTTTTCATTTTCCTAATGCGATATTCCCCAGCTAATAACCACTGAGGCAGTGCGGTTCAGTACGGTCGGTTGATCGGACGAATGAAGTGTGCATGTGTCACTTCCTCCTAAACAGCTGTCTTATCCGATGTCGCAAGACAAAACCGGGGACCAAAAATTGTGTGGCCGCTTCTTCGCGCTTTCTCTTGTAATATTGGACAAATTGCTACTTTTCGCTCGCTGTTTCATATGCCAACCTCTTTATCTTTCAACTCGTTCTAAGATTTGTGCCCTCACTGCCTTCGTGCTTATCGCTTGTGTATCGTTCCAAACTCATTCTACCTCGTTCACCAAAACTAAGCTTGCATTCAGGCTAACCTGACGTTATTCTAAAATTAGGTTGCCAGACAGGTTGAGCGGATCAGGCTTATTTCCTTATTCTCATTCGAATAGAACGATAGCTCCCTAAATGTCCACAAGGGAGATCCAGCGAATTGGCCACCCCATGACGACAGCCCCTTATTTTTGGGCCGTACTATTTCATTAGTCTAGTAATCTGGCGACTCTTCTGTCAGCAATTTCTAACCGTATTCTGATTTCTATCCGCTGTTTTTACAGACCGAAGGATTTTCGGAAGACCATAACAAAGTTCATCTACCTAGTTCAGCATTTTATTCGTCCCCGCTCAAGGTGAGTACTTTCCTCGTCATGTTCTCCAATGGGACTGCTTTTACAAGTGATTTTTGTTCTGTGCTTGATTACTCTCCCTTATGGTTATGCGTACTTGCTGATTACGTTACGATTGCACTTTTTTCCCCAGTGATACCAACGGTTGTGACCCAGCTTTGTCACACGTTTTCCATGACACTCTGTTCGAATTGCACCTCATGCTGTCCATCAGCGCTGAATTGACCCTGGAGCCTGAAGTCGCTCCTTTTGAAGATGGCGGTTGCCTTAGCGAAGGGGCGTTCCAAACAGAGGCCGACGAAGTAACCATGCGACGACACAGTTCTTTGTTTTGTGAAAGACTCACTGGTCCAATCTTTGTCCGTATTGCGATGATCACTTTGCTCACTGCGAATATGCGTATACACGAGTGTGTGCTGCGCAATGAAAATTCGGAGGAAGGCAGTCATTCCAAACAGGAGCCATCTGCAGATAAAAGCGTGGATAACGCTACTGAATCGGACAGCGAAAATCTAGAGGTCTGTCTGGTTTATCTTGACATGCTCGCCCCGCCTCAGAGGTTGCTTTTTTCTTGCAGTGTTTAGCCATACCCCGGTTATAATTGTGCTCTCTATTTGAATCTCCTACTCCCTGTGCATACTGCTCATCGATATGGCATTCGATGGTATGCTAGAAAGACAGAAGCCGGTCCAAGAGTTGTTGGAATTTTTCGCGCCATCTTCTTGGGTGCTGGTCTCAGAATTTGCTGCACTTGTTGCTGGGACACGATTCAATTGAGAAGCGAATGGCACTCCTGTATCCGTTCCCTTGCTTCCAACTTTCGGTCCCCTGTCTGATGTTTCACCGTTTTTTCACCGTTTTGTTCGTCCATTTTGTCACAATGGCTACGCAAACCTCCGGAATGCCAAACCTTTATCTATCTGAACTTGACTCTTATGTCTTTAATCAAACTGAATTAACTAGTCCCGCAGTTGTCGTTCCTGGGTGCCGTTCCATCTATGCGCAAAGTCTGCGTAACGTGGCTGTTAGCGACTTGATGCAGCCTCGCATGTTGTTTGGGTCTGACTTTTGTGGCCTGCACCAGCCGGTCTCACATGAGATTTGCACGCCGAATGAAGTTTACTTGCCGAATACAGTACTGATCAGAGAGTCTAGATGAAATACAACTCTTCACATTGGTTCTGCCTAACGAATGTCTCATCAAATCTCTTCGATCAGTTTACCGAGCCATGCAGACAGACATTTATCTCTGTTGCGCTCAATATCAGTCTGCTCGAGTTACCTACGATTTGATGTTCGCTTTTTAACTGAACTTACTTAGTCCTTTTCAACTGGCCTTTCTCATCACATTTAAACGACACCAGTAGTGCGTCTTCTTTGTGCTTTTACTTTTCATCGCGATTGTCTGTCACAGATGGAGATTACTCAGGTGATGTGCTCTACTCCAACTGGGTATATTTCACTACCACATCCCACTGATAGTTGGCGCACCGGATTGAGCCTGCTGTTGCCGCTTAGGGGAGCACTCACTCAATGATCTATATTCCCTTTCTCTTTCAAGTCTCTATTACAGGAAATCGTTGTGGTGATAATCCGTAGTGCAGTGGGTCAGTCATTAGACTTGCAATCCCTTTTCCTCGTGTACGAGTTCTCTCACCCACAATATCCCAACCCACATACAACAACTGTCTGTTGTATTGCTGCGACATACAATCGCAGGGCACCGGTGAACTGGTGACCGATTGGTATAAGCCGTCCATCTTGCAGTCCACAGGTCACCGGTTCATGTCTGCGTACGTACGGGCGACGTCGTTGTATCCCTTACCTTCACGCCATTGTTCGTGATTCCTTGACAACTAAAAGTTGGTGCAATGTATTGTCTTAATGAGGTGCTGTCGATGCTTCTACTGCAATGGGTGATTTGTCTTTGCTCTTAAGGATGGTGGTGCCGTCGAATAGATTTGACATACTTTGGAGCAGTTACTTGACATGAACTAAGTTCTTTTGCGTGCTGCACTTGTCAGCAGCTGATGTCCCGTCATGCTTAGCTACCTCCTTTCTCCAAACTATCTTCTCCATTATGTCTGGAGTAACGCTTGGCTTTTGTTTGCCCTGCGTTTATGCCGGAATTCGGGCTTTTTTATACATTTTCCTACGCACCTTCCACCATCCTCTCTACACTTCACAGGCTTCCACTGGATCGGCTTCACTCTCTGGGACATCCTCTTCTTGCGGTCACGTTTTGGAACCTTTTGGACCACTGTCCTTTCTACTCCAGTTAAACGAGCTGTTTATGGCCCATGTCTCTCGACAGTTGGACGAGCACACCCCCAGGTCAATGAATCAGTACACTTTTGACAGCGGCATAAAAAGTGCACAAATGAGTACCATTCCCGAAGCACACGATTCCTCGATATCCCGAAATCGATGTGATGGAGACACTTCTCATGAACATAAATCTAACGCAGGTAAATAGATCGATTTGCGTTCGTCACTTTTTTAGCATGTGATATGTTCAAAACTTTCTCGAGAGAAACGATTGAGCTACTTTCGCGCAACACCGCCTCCATTCGTGTGCACGGTTGTTATGTGACAGTTCTTATGTTCACACTGACGCTCACTTTCGTTTAAGACATGATCAGTCTTACTAACTTGAATTGTGACATAGATATGAGAGGGCAGGACATTTGTTTACGTTCCTTCCTCCTTCGCTTTCATTTCGCGTCGCCTCATACATGTGGGCCTGCTCTGTTATACGGTGGCCTCCTTCATCGTTCGGTGAATGGTTACTGGGCCGTGATGGATCCAAATTCCGTGCAACTGGTCTGCTCCTGTGAGATAGTACGAAGCGATCAGTTGCTTTGTTCTTATAGGAGTGGCACAACAAAAATCGCTATCGCTTTCAATGCTTGTTTCATCAGCGATGGGACTTCTTTGTCTCGACCTTACAAACCCGACGTATAATTTGCTGTTTGAAGGTTGGCGAGCATTCCGTGACCGAGCGGCTACAATATTTCCCTGTTCGAGCTGCCGCGAATTGGTTGCGCTAATTCTGTTCTTGCTCGGATTATCACATGCTCATTGGAGTTGCACTGAGTCTGCTACTGACCCTGCTGAAGGCCAGTCACACACTCATTGAAGTTCAAGCTCCTCGTAATGTCGGCGGAATTTATCATCCTTCGCATCGTTATCACGCTCCCGCTGGCTTCTTCAAGTCATTTTCACTGATTTCATTTCGCCTAACCCTTATGCTAAATAGCAACATTCATCATATATTCGCACATATGCGCATTACTCCCGCTCGACCGTGACTGAATGCACTCCCCCCCTAATTAGTAGCCGTACGGTTGGTAGTTGTTTCTGAACGGTGTGAACTACCGGTACTGGTTATTCAGCTTTTTCCAAAACATAAACGGCTGTTTATCTTACGACTCTCAATTCTTCTCCTACTTCTCGACCAAACTTTGTTTGTGATAGTTGAACCCCTTGAAATCACCTCAAGACACAACAGATGCCCGTCTCGTGGATCGTTACCTGACGACCCTCGTGAGGGTACCACACCAGCGTCCAAACGACCTTCGCAGTCAACTCAAGATGAGTCGGAAGATGAAAATGACGTGTTGGACGAAGACACCCTGCACCGATTTGTTCGCCATCACTCGGACGATGAATCAGATCCAGTGGAGGAAGACGAGGATGAGGAGCTCGCCGATAGTGATGATGCCGATTCCAGTGGGGACTTATGGAGCCCGGATGACTCTAGTCTGCTGCATTCACAGGTTGGTTTTGCTTTTACTCACCTGTTATGGTGAGGCGCCGCTCGCTTCCACGTCAGCATCTCGACGGCTGAATTAAGCATGCCACGTCATGTTTGTCTGCCATCGGCCCTATCACAACACCCTTTCATTTGAAGCTACCCATTGCTACAACGGTTTTTTTTGCCATTAACATATCCTACTAAAACTTCACACGAAACTTCTCCTCATTTCATCTGTTTGTACTAACTACTTCTAGTTTGCTTTATGTCTCTGTTAATACACAGTGTCGTGATAAGCTCCCATGGTCGTGTGGGAGTCTATGGGAAACTCTTCTCTGCGTTCACCACAACAAGCAAAATGCACCAGGACTATCCTCTCCCTCCATTTCACCTTAATTTCATGATCGAAATGATCACGAACCACACTGCTTCCTGCTTCCATTTATTGTGTGCTCGAAGTTCCGTTTGACGACTGACTGTTAAACCTAGATTATGTGGACTGCATAGCTCACTTTGTATCGGTTTCAGCCCCTATACAAGCGCCATTGTATAGGCTGACGCGTACGCTGCGCAATGGCATGTACTTTGCACCTTCATAGTACAACCTACTGTCACAAAGTCGGATCAGTTCACCACGATTTCTCATTGTAACACAACCGCATCTAGAAATGGGTAACTGTGTCCCTCCCGACGGTCACCAAGAGATTATCGCAGGCATTACTGTCACTTCTGTGGCTTTTCTGAGCCTATGTCACTTATGGAAAAGACAGGATATGGGCTTATTGGTGAAGATAAGTCATTACAACACTGCGTTACTGCCAGTGCTGCTGTGTAAATCAGAGGCGATGCCACTGCTCGCCGAGGACAGTAGGGGGGCTGCTCATGCCTGGTCACAGATACATGTGTAGTGTTGCTGTGTCTGGTGGGAGGATCGATTGCATGATACTGAGGCTGGTCATTCAGTGTTCGGAAACTCCCCCTCTGGGAGTACCAATTAATCTCGAATCGCCTACACTGTCCAGGGCATGTGCTCCACGTACTTGCAGGCTAGTCACTTCGGCGGATACTGTCCATCAATAGAGCGTTAGGTTGAATGTAACTTCAAAGTCCTCCGTTATTGACATGTTAGTCGGTGTCTGAAAGGATTGCGTGCTTGCGTTGTACTCCTGAGGTAGCTGGTTCGAATCCGCTTTGGTGCGGGAGACTTCGCGGTATGCTCAGCCTTCGCGCGCCTGCTGGTAGTGGCGTGGCAGCGAAGCGTTCGTATGGTGTCGGCATACTGCAGATGCTTTTCTTTTCTCAGAAAAGTTTGCATATTTCTCCCGGAGGGCTGAGTCAAGTTGGATCTGTTCGGCTAGCCAGGTGATGAGAGGTGCTCGGGACTCCCATCATATCCAGCTTTCCATACTCTTGACCATTCCGTTTAATGATTTTACTGCCTGCCAATTCCCACTGATTTACTGTAGCATTGTAATAATGCGAAATACCAGCGCTCTTACTATTCCCACTATTGTCATTAGTTGATGACGTGCATCAAGACAACTGAATCCACTGCACCTCGGTTTTTCAGTTCATAGTTAACAAACTGAACCAGACAAGCGATTGATCCACGCTTTGTGTTGATTGAGTATCTCATTCGGTCAATCCCTGCCTGACAGTTCCAATTCCACTACCCGAGCCGCCTTCAGTGGGTTATATGCAGCCTCACCATACTAACGGATCGTTTACAACTAGCGGCACGGGAGGTACTTTTTACGCGAAATAGTACTTTTGTCAGATTGGTTGAACTTGAAGAATGGAGTAATCGGGAGTGCAAAAATATTCCTCTACACGAGGAGGATTCGTTTTCCACGAAATACTGGAATTCGTGTCGGTAAATGGATCCCCATTTATTTCTAGCCTTACAACAATTCTCCAATAAGTTTTCCACAAGTTGTGACCTATAAGGTCAAGAATGCTGCTTTAGACCTCATTGCCACTCAGGATTCTGCACGCCATTACACGCTCTTATTCTTACCGCACTGGACGACAGATGCGTCGCTTTTGCACGCCACTTTTCCATCTCCACGCTTGTCCCAGCGAGTAGATTGGTTTGACCTAGGTCCTTTACGAAAGGTGTAAGGCGCAGCGGTTAGCTATCACCACTCTTCCCTATTTTTCTAACTAAAGGATTGATCGCGTCAACTGGTGGAGAGGCGGTCAATGCCGTGTGTAGTACGTCGCAGTCTTCGGGAGTATCAGTTGCCTTCCACTTCTTCAGATTGTCCGCAACCGAGGTGTATGATGACCGGAGAGCCTGAGATACTTCGTTAATGTACTTCAGGAGCGAAATGGGCCCTAGTACTGTACCTTGGGGTACGCCACTATTAGAGGGGTACCAGTCGGTTAAATGTTCATCTGTTTGTACCCTACACTTTCGTCCCATAAGGAAATCACTGATCCAGTATTGCAGTGAGCCATCTCACACATCTTCAGTTTGTGCAGGTTGATCTCATGATTCGTCGTGTCGAACACTTCACTGAAATAAGTGAAGATCACGTCGGTTGACTTCGCCCTGTTCAGTGCTTGCGATCACTCATGAAATTTTGCTATGTTAACGTCACAAGTATCTTCGCTTCCAGCAGATGCCACTTTCGCCGAAATGGGCGTCAGACCAATCGGCCGATATTGCCCACCTTCATTGGATCACCGACTTTCGGAACTGGCTTAACTACTAAACATTTCCAGTCGCTCGGCATTGAACCTTCGAACAGTGACCTGTCTAACAGTTCAGTCACAAGAGGCAAGATATTGACCAATAACGACTTTAGAATCAGCGAGTGGAGCCTCTCAGAATGACAGTTTTCGTGCTGTCAAGACTGACGTGAAGATTGCATGCATCTTCCACACCGCAGTTCAGACTGTCAAGTTCGACAGTTGCGATACACCTCGAGCTTGATACAGACACTCAGCTTTTCGCAAACGCAAGCGACGTGCGCCGATGCGGACACATGCCCAGTGCTAGGCTGTCCTTCCTAGCTTTATACTACTATTATGTCATCTGCTGGCCACAAGCATCCCTTTACGTAAACAGTGATCCTCTTGGGAGTAATCTTGGCTGCGGCTACAAGCTGCTGTTCTAACTGTCAACGCCAACGTGTTGTTGTGTGGTTGCGGCTATTCCACTGCCTCATGTACTCCTCGTAATCGTTAGCAGAGCCAGAACGGATTATTTCATTTCATAGCCCGCGTCACTGTAGAGCCAACCGACCACATCCCTTGTCGAACCAGTGTGGCTTCACCGCCCTACTTTGGAGGTACTTGAGGGGCACAAATGAATACAACGATTTTACACCCTACTATATAGCAGACCAACGGGTTTTAACAGAAGAACTCTACAGCAGCAATCAGTCTACTTAACTAGCAGATCGAGTAAGGTCGTCGAAATCAGTTTCCCAGTAGATATAGAATTGCTTCAGAACAAGCGAGTATGGCAGCAGCAGCTCCACATTGGCTATGCTCATCTGGTGGTCACTTGCTGCCAGTGACCCCCAAACCTGAACGTTATCCGCAAGTTAGCAGCTGATAAACATCAGGCCCAGACACGATGAATTGGAGTGCGGTGTTATGCACGTCGGCAGACAGTCGTGTTGTGCTTCGCGGATTTCACGTATCATAGCCGCAAATACTCTTGATTTCACGTTGCCCGTTTATATGTTGGATCTATGTTGGAGCCGGTGTAGAGATTGCTCTTAGCCCTGGGCTGGATCTGCCCTACTCGATTGGATTCCGGTAAACAGCCGGATGTGCGCTGTCAGATTGGCTGGCTCGTTCAGAGCCTCGAACTCGCGTTGGGACAAACGGTACTTGTTTGTTATTGCGGCCTACGCGCTCACAGATTATGGTGCTGACTCGGTGAAAGGTAAATTTTATCACTAACTGAACGCGCTTCTCTGTTACAGAAAAGTACGGATACTGTGGTGCTAGCTGGTGATTTGAACGCCCAAGTTGGAAAACTGTCCACTGATAAGCTTCATCTGGGTAGCCAACACGGTGTAGGCTTCCGTAATGATAACCGTGAACGGTTGCTACACCTATGGGAAGATGGTCGTCTCCTTATCCTGAGCACTAACTTCTGACACAGCACCCGCAGAAGGGTGATATGGCGCCCATCAGCCTCGGACCAACCGTGGAAACAAATCAATCACATCGCGATCGCTGGAGAGGTTGTGTTCAAAACTGTCAATCGATTTAGAGCACCAATGTGGACTCTGACCACGCACTTGTTTGCACCGACCTTCGGGTGCTTTTTGGCGAACGTTCGCAATGGCTCTGTGAGTGCATAAATACTTGCAAACTGACGAAGTCAGCTGTCCTGAATGCGTATCAGAGTACGCTGGCATCCGAGCTGAGTAATCGTTCACTGAACACAGTTGAAGATCACTGGTTGCATATCCACCAGAAGTCATTATCAACTGGCATGTCTTCATGTGGCAAATCAAATCACCAACCTGGACATTGGGTCTCTACGCAGTCTGGAACTTTTGGATGCTTGTCAACGTATTACGGCTTTAAGCGAATATAATGAGACTCGCAAAAATCTCAGGGTAAAACTTCGTGCTAGTTTGAAGAGAGACCGCGAAGCCTGCTGGTCTTATTGTGCTTCGGAGATGGAGAAAACCGCTGCCCTTGGTGACCATCGTAAGTTGTTCCGTTTTATACGAGAAACGGGCAAAAGGAGGCCCGTTGTTAACAAGCCTATATGCGACGAGAGTGGGCTGTGGATCCACAAGTTGTCAAAGCGTTTGGAACACTGGGCCGAACACTTTGCGAAACAGCTCAAACAACCAGAGTTGCCAGCCTCTCCATCAGGCAATGCTCGCCCTAGTCCCTGCTCTGTCACCCCGGATGCACGCTCACATACAGAAATCGAACGTGAGATCAGACGGCTGCAATTGTACTAGGCCGTTGGAGCAGATGGATTTTATCCAGTCCTCTTCAAATTCGGGGGCCCTGCTCTTTTGTACGATTTACATAACCTAATAAAGAATCTATTGGGGCAGCAGACAATCCCAACAGAATGGAATCGCTCCGTTATAGTCCCAGTTTTCAAGGGATGCTCCCGCTCGGAATGCGGCACTCGTATAGGAATCATACTGCTCTCCATGGACTCTAAGTCACTTGCTTCTGTCGTCCTTCGTCTCATCTGTGACAGCCCCAGACCGTGCCAAGCTGCACTGGATAACTTAGATGTAACAGTCAGTCATTTCGGGCTATGCTTTACACCCTCGAAATATAAAGCCATTCTCCAAGATTGGAAGGGGCCCACTCCTATGCTGACCGTTGGCAGTGATCAGCTATAAGTCATCCAGAAATTTAAATACTTGGGCAGCTACATTAGTGCCCGTGGAATCGAAGATGAGGTCATGGACCGTGTAGCAAAAGCTCGGGGTGCTTTTGCCCATTTCTGCCACTTGTGGCGCCGGTGTGGCATCGCTCTTGCTCTGAAGGGCAGAGGTTACAATGCAGTCGCCCTTCCAACCCTCCTATACAGTTGTGAAACCTGGCCCATCAGATCAGTTGGCATAAAAGGCTAGTTATGTTCGACCATCGCTGCCTTCCCAGTGTTGCTCATGCCTAGTGGGAAGATCGCATGAGCAGTGCGCATGTTCTGTGTCGCGTATTTGGTGCACGAAGCGTGAGTGAACCGCTCAGCACCATTACATCACGTACCAGACTCCGATGACAAGGCCAGGTGTTGCGCATGCCAACACACTGACTCCCGCATCGTGCGTTGTTTGCGCACCCTGTGTCCGGATGGAAGAAGGGGGGAAGTCAAGCGATGACTTTGTCTAGAGGAATGGCATCCGTCACTTCGAACTTGGTGTCGCTTGGTGTTTCCCGCCTGCCTGACTGGGGTCCGAAGGACGATTAACACGTTTGGTTGGATACACTATCTGACATAGCGAGGAGCCGACCTCAGTAGCGTTTGTGTTATATTTCTCTTTGTCCCTCCCCCTCCCCTTTAACTTCCCTCTCCAGCACCTATCTCAATCCAATGCGTAATGTGATTTCAGCATTACATTACTTTTCTAACTTTTCTAGGCTGTATTGTTTAATCTATTATTCTTTTTGTATTGGGGCACATTAGCTGTGGTGTGTTTCTCACCCTCGGCTAACGTGTATTGATAATGGTTGATGATGATGCATCATAGTATATGCCATCCATATTTTTGTTACAATGATCAGAACACAAAAAGCAAACTAATATCGAGGAAAGCAACTTGCCATTTTGTACTTTTTGCTATTTTCACCATTCTTACCGTACGCTTTTGTATTATCGCGTCCGTTGCCGTGGATTCTCTCCAATCATTTAGGATGAGATGCATACATCAGATTCTTCCTCAGCAGATGAACTGCGCTCGTATGTCAACCAGCGTCTACGACGTGCACATCTCGTTAATCCGGACGTAAAACGCTTCAGTAAAACTGTCGTCTTACCTGGTGACGGAAACGGGTCTGCATCCGTGTCTGAGGAGAATGCATCACGTAAGACCGGGGATCGGAGACCACTGGACACAATAAGAGAAGAGCACTCTTCTTGCGAACTTAAAGAGCATCGGCATAAACGCTCGTCCAAAAGTAGGTAGACCGAGTTTATGCGTCTTCGTTTTCCTTCCTAACATGATTTGTGTATCGTCCTTCAAAGCATGTAATCTTCAGCTATTCACTTCCGCACTACCCATTGGTTTTGATTGTGTCATTATGGTGGTGTAAACGAAAACAATGAGATCTTGCAATATTCTCGAGTTTTTTTACGTCACCCACTGTGTTTCTCGATCACAGCACGTGTTCTCAACTTGGGCGTCAGCTTCGACACACAGCCCGGTCATTCGCAGTACCGATACCGCATTGCTTACTCATAACGCTGCACTCCGTCTATGTTTGAAATTATTTCGTTTGACACAGCCATGCTGACGACTTGAGCATGGGTTGTGTAGCATCCACAGTATATCCACTTCGGATGCTGTTGCGGCCATCGGCATGACGAAGTTTTACTTGAAACTCAATCGTGTGAATTTCTAACGTCTACAACAAGTGTTACCCACGGGACTAGGTGGCCTAGTGGTCAGATGTATGCTTACTGCTCATAGCATGCCAAATTTATTTCCTAGTTTTAGGCTGCTGAATTCAGCCAAAGACTTGTCTGGTCGTGAAGTTCAGGATTTGGAGCGACCGACACAGAAAATGTCTCCACTTCGGATGCGAAGCCAGAGATAGAAGTGCTTGCGGATTATTTCAACGGACAAGGAATTTTTAACGGCTGTGACGAGCTTTACTTGCGGAGCTTAATTGTTTAATGAGAAAGCCGTTAGTCGTCAAACATTGCGTCGGAGGTTCCTCCTGCCCGACTGCAGCTATTCCCACTGGAAAAGAAAGACGAAATTGGTCATGGAGTGCAGTTTTTGTAGTAAGCGATACCGGTGATGTTTCCAATCGTGATCAGAGTTGTACACTAATCGTTTGCGGGCCTCATTCTCTTTCCACAATCACAACGTTTCATTCACAATATCACTCCAAAACCATCCCCCGTCACTTTTCTGCAGCTTGTGTATAACGTTAAACAACGGCATTGGCCATATTAACAGTCAAACTGGGGTTTTGCTTGTATCTGTTTAAGGAATACGTTTTATCCTGACCACCGTTCAAGGACTGTTGGGCGCATTGAAATTGCATACTGTTTACATTGGCAATGCTGATGATGAGACAGTGGTTTCTGCTCGTTCGTGTCTGGTGATCTATGTTGTATGGCACCAAGTGCATTTAGGTCCATTCACATCAAACGATTCAACTGTTGACGGTCAGACGTATTCAGTCCCAGTCATCAGAAGTCGAAGAAGTGCCATTTATTATCACCTTTGAAATTCGCCATTTGGACACCACTTTGTGAGTTAGTAACGTAGCTTATTTTGAGTGAAGCAAAGCGCACGAATAAGCGCTGACGATGAAACAGACCGGCGGTTGCTATCACACGCATCAGTCCAGGCACCACTTGGCCAGTGGACCTGCTAAGTCCTCAGCACTTGCCTGAAGTTGAGTACGATCGCATCCAACCGTGAGCATCTGCTCGCTAAAGCCCTCAGCCATCCTCGCAAATCGAACCTGCCTCTCATACTCTCACCGATCGAATTGCTATCGAGGTTGACCCCTCTCAGAGCTGACAGTCGACCACATCACCAGTGTTTCTTCTCTTCTTCTGATTAGCCAACAGGTGCTATATATTTTGTGCTTATTGCACATTCCTTCAACTCGATGCTTGGAACAGTCGATTCACGAGCCCAGTCATCACGAGCGTGCTGGTATTAATCGAGGTTTTATCCGAAGAGTTGCATTCTGAGAGCAATTTCAAGTAGTTTAACGATTACTGCGCTGAATCAGACAGCAGTTACGTACCGAGCGTATAGCTTTGTGCGTTCGGAGTTTCCATCAGCCGAGTAGCTGGGGCATTACCCCACTTATAAGTGCGTTCTCGGAAAGGACACTGAAATACCGCCTTATTGCTAGAATTCGCAGGATGCAACTCACCAAATTACTGGTTCATACCAAGGTTGGGTGATAACATATCTCAGTTGTTTGCATGTATAAAATTATTTCAACCCATGATGTCTATTATTTTTGCGCACCTCTGAATCCTGGTCTTTTGTGCTGTAGACAGCCACGATGAGCATGATCTTCATGTTCACCCTATCCACTTAGTACAAGTACCTAATATTTTGCTACTTTTAACAGAGTCCATTTCATTTAACAACTGTGCATCATATCCGGAGTCTGGTTAGTACTCAGTTTTACCTGGGTATGTATACCGCTTTCCGTTTAGATACTGTTTCTTTGCAGAACTTAATTAGGATCGACACATGGAATCCTGGTTTTTAAGCTAACGCGGTATCAATAATACTTTCTTGATGAGCATGTAATGTCGTTTCATTTTCCGAAATGCTTCCTCTCTGTGCATCTGAAGGGCTTTCTCATACACTACGCATCGGCACTAGACTGACTTTTATTGACATTGCATGTTTTTGGGAGTATTGTTAACGTGATCACACATGAATTAACGCCAACGTGATGCTGGCGCAGCTGTGGAACTCATTCCTCTACTCGTCCGTGTGTGCCTGGAGTCTGTTGGTTGATGCATCTATTTGGGTAGCAGTTATGGTGCGTAGTTTACCAGATTCACTCCCCTTTCTACGGTATGCACTATTACCATCGATAGACGGCGCCAGGTCGTCTTCGGTGGTCCAGCTGCTAGCTACACGTCTCCGACTTGATTTGCCGGCACTTATCCCTAATGATCCGACCCGATAATAGTGAGCATACAGAATCAGTAAGTTACTCGGTGTTTACTCGACTTCGCAACTGATCTGCAAGACCGAAAGCCTACGAATCCTTCGGAGGAACAGTCATGCCAACTGATACGCAACTGTATGTTTTGATTGGGTATCTTGACTGATCTCACCGCTATTTCGCTATATCTGCCATTCATTTTGATCTACACTTTGTAGGCCATTGGTTTCCCTTTAAAACCAAATTTATTTACTCTTGCCATCCACTGCTGTCCATTTTAGACTGTCGTTCGCCGCGACACAGTTCACCCAAGGCTTCTCGGTGAGTGCCATCGTTAGATTTTTGCTCCTGCATTGTTTTATTTTAAACATCAACGAACAAGCTAGTCTAGCTTTATACAAAACCAGATGGCCATAATTGTTCCTTTTATCAACATGGAGTTTTTCACGGACATGTCACCGAATCCACTAGTACCATGCGGATCTTTCCAGTATGCGCAGTATTCTCTTCGACGGGTTGTCTGACAGAGATGAATCCGTCTTTGCGTGGTCCCTCAGAGGAGTGCTAGTGTGGTCGGGCATCGATCAAACTCCATTACACAGGTAACAACCTGTTAATTATAGCATATAACCAACTGTAGGGCTTTTTATGCTATTTACCATCGGTTGTTCACTTCGCCCATGTCTTCTCCGCCATTTGTCAGCAGCTTTTCGACCTCGGTTTCCGTCTTTGCCAACCGCATTACTTCATGCTCCGGGAGTGGTTGCGCATGTTCATTGTCACCTTGGGCCAGTCACTTGCCGTCGACTTTACCCCACGTGTTCTTGGTTGCTTCTCTACGCCATCAGCCGACACACTTGGTGATATTCCAATCGGTCTTTCTTTTTTAGTGTTTCGGGACTTTTAGCTGCTATCACACAACTACCAGCTGTTCAACACTTGTGAGAGTCGGTGTTGTGTCTGTCTACTTCTACACTTTGTAGATGCGAAACACCTTTTCAGGTTTCTGTGGTGGTCTTTCATCATCTCTCGTATGAACCGAACCTAGTATCGGGATAGCCAGCCGGTTGTGATGGTATGTTGTTAATACATTGTGTAGGCACCTTGGCGCTGAATGTTTGTTTGTTCTCTTCCCCTTATTCTTTATTCCATAGATCACCATGGTTGTATGACAGCGAAGCATCAGTTCAAGTGGCTGATGTACTGTTGTTGTTGTCATCGCGGAAGCCCCATAGTCAGTCGATCACATGGCAGAGCAACCGCTACACGCGGCATTCTGACCACCTAGCTGAAGATGGTTGGCGACATCCGGTTTCGGATTTGCCTGTCACCGTTGCCAGCCACAGGACGCCTGCGCCTACAGAGGGATCATGGGTGGCTTGCGCTGCACCACCCACAGCTTCAACCACACACCCCATCTCCTGTGTAAACACGAAGGAATAAGACCGGGAGGCATGTGGATGGAAGCCAGATTTCACCAACGGAGCCGGCCCGCACTCCTTCACAGGCAAACACAAACACGCTGTACTTGGGGAATCAATCGCATATAAGGCAATGACTGGACCGTAGTCCGCACCAAACTGAGTGCAAAGAACCACTCCTTGATCCTACCGCGACCACAGGAACTCTGCATCCGTCCCCTCCAGCAACGACCAACTGTCTCCTGGAGCCGTTATGAACGACGTAGTGGGTAATAGCTGAAGATGCTGGTGTAACTACACAACCCCAGGACACTTTATTTGTTTTATTGAACTAAGACTTGAGGTTGCTTGATAGCTCTTACTCCATTTCGAGAATTGTGGCTCAAAAAATCTAGAACAAAAAGGAGTATCGCAAACGTACTCTGGCTACAGGGAATGCGATGAGTGAATGACATCGTACAAATCAAGGGAGACCTTCATTTGTCAAGTGGATCGTAAACTTATCTTCAACTTTTGTTCTACTTGGAACGGATAGCGACTCAGCTCTCATAGTAGTATTCCAACCGGGACAAATTGGCCGCGACGTTATCATTATGGGAACACTTTTTCACATTAACCAATAGGATACTTCTTCGATGATACCACTCTTAACTTACGGCCGCTTTCAAAATTTTGATTAACTATGGATTCGCAGACTTTTCTAGTACATAATGCACTGCTAATTAGATTTACATCTAGAGAGTTACAACCTCAACGTTGTCAAGCTGCTGTCACTTTGTTCAAAATTTTTATGCGATAATTTATGTCGGTTCTCCCTAATGGTGTAGTCGTGCCAGGTAAACTCACTTGATGGTGGGAACCCTGTTGGTTCCGTCACTTAACCGCAAACCGATGAATACGCGTTGCGCCTTCTTTTGAGTGCGTCCGCACAATCGCGAGCCGATTGATCACTGAATCCGGTAGTCTGCGCGCTGCCGAGTGAGTGAGTGAGTCAACCACCTCGTCAAACAAATCTTGGCGCATAAACTAAGGATCTGACCACTTATAATTGTTCAGGAGCGAACTTATCGTTAACACCGAGTTCATGTGACCTAGTGAGCACGAGCGGCCGGTCCATTGTGTTTGAAAGCGCCTGTGGAACGTGCAATGAAATGGTCAAATTAGGGCTTTCTTTTTCTGATTGCTCAACCCATTTCTATCCCAAGTACGGGATCATGAACCCAGGCGAGATGAGGCTGCACAACAAGCGTCCAGACTCACTTTGATTCTGTATGATGTGTAATACCATCCCACTAGCTAAATTTGTGATTTCACTGTCCCATAATTACAAAAGGCTGGCTGAGGTGGTTGAACAAATATTGAATCCCTAACTCCTTTCCCTAGGGACGAACGTAGCAAGCCGTATGAACCAGATCTCTCCACTGAACTATACTGTAAGCCAACTTCACAACTCCGGGCGTTCCACTAATAAAACGACATATGAGAACACAGAAAGCAATCATTTCGCCATTACTCCAGGCCGCCCAGCCTTTCTAGAACTCTACACCTCTGACTCATTTTCAACAAATTCTCCCAAGCCCATTTTCACCAACCAAGCTTCACCGAAACTCAGGAAACAGGCCAATACCGGTGGCGACTGGCCATAGTTACACCCAACAGCACTCCGAAATCAACGGCTGCAGTTTCTGCTACCACACCCGGGATTAATGTGAGGCGATACTGCATTGACACCTGGTGGACTACTCGGTCTTCCAACCACGACCCATACTCCTTCTATTGAGCGAAGCAGAGGTTAGAAGAGTCCTGCGTAGACACCGCAGCTTGAACGGTTTTTGTCCACCGTGTTTCCCGCTGTCGTGATCATGATGACTGCGGAGCATAGGCTCACTACCAGGAGCATTGGCGGTTGATTCGTGTGACCCTGTTATTGCACGACGACAAAACTGCTTTCCGCTTAAGGCTGCCAAGATCTGCAAGCTACAAAGGGTTTTCTTCCTATGCAATCCTGTAGCCACACTTTATGCGCTGTGCAAAATAGGTTCCCAGTGGGGCTAGGTACGACACCACCGAACCCAACTCCAAACCACTCACTGATAAAGCCACGATAATGGCTAGCGACCGACCATACAACGGTCGACGCGATCTCCTAATCGCCGGTGAGAATCGAAAACTTTTCTGCATATGCGCCAATGTCCAAGACCTCAGCGAACTTGTTGAGTTTTGGTTGCATCAGGCAACTAACGCTTAGGATCTCATTTCCATGATCAAGACTTTTTTGCGCTCAGAGGTTACGTTTGCCGAGACAGCGATTCAGGGATATCACTGTCCCGAATTGATTGTCCCAGCAGGGTTGTTACAATTGAGTCAAGTCCATTCAAAATAGGCCTTATGAACACTAATGGATTCATTTTCAGCATTTACACCACTACTGCGGACACCTGGATGCTTGTGTAGAAAAGTGAAAAAAAACAGAACTGTTACTCCAACAAGCTCTCACGCAGCATGTTGGTGACTTCCGATGGGTCAACAAACAAACGGGAGAGATAAGGCAACACAGTATTACAATACGATGATGTGCGGGAGAACAAAATCGTAAAATTCGTACGAGTAGAAGAGCAAGAGAACGTTTTGATAATACCATTGTGAAGTGGATGTAATCGATCAGTTAGTATTTTAGAAGAAAAAGCAATACCGGCATCAAGATATCTAGAAATAATCAAACCAACTAAAGCATCTCTAGACAAGCCGCTGCATCTAGAAATGTGCTTTATATTTCGCATCAGAGATCTAATCTTTCTGAAGTAGTCCAGAGAAATGACAGGAGAGCAGTATAGCCAATAGGGAATAATACAAGAGGTCACAAACCTGAATGTTATAGTAGGAGGTACTGAAAACACATTAATTCCGAGGGCATAAAAAGAAAATTTTCTGACTTTTTGAGAAGTTTTACAGACGTGCGTGGACCAAGGAAGGCTCTGGGACAAAAATACGCCGAGATACTTGACGGTGGAAGGGCTGGGTATGAGATTTTCATTCACAGTAAGTGTGGGGGAGAAATCTATGAGGGACTGCAACTTATCGCCATGTAGAAAAGAAAATATTTCACCCCTGCATTCAGAATCATTAAGCGTAAGAGATCTGGATGAAGACCATTCCACAAAATCTTCCAACCCACTTTGAAGTGATGAGGAATCCTGGTTAGTGGGGTCATACATCCCAGCACAACATCATCAGCATATTTACACCCTATAAACATGGCTTGTATAGGGAAATGTTCAACATACAAGGGAAAAAGTGATAGAAAAGGTGATAGGTGATAGGATCGTTTCCTGTAGAACACTAAAGTCGGCACGGAGGACAGGATTTCTTACCGGTCAACTTGGTGCAGTGAGTACGATCTGTAAAATAGTCACCTAACAGATTACACACACCAGCGTGAACTCCATTTTCGGATAGCAGGTTTAGCAACCTTGACCTATCCAGGCTTTCAAAGACATTCGAATAATCCAGGAAGAGAAGCCGTACGGATTTGCATTTTTGATCTAATGCAGAGGCTATAGAATGAACAACATATGCTACTGCATCCAATGTGGAGCGCTTGGGTCTATACGCAAACTGGTAGATACCATCTTCAGGAACGGCTGAAAAAATCCGCGAAACTAACAGTCTTTCGAAAACCTTTAGAAGCACAGATGTACATGCAATTGGGCGATACTTTTGAGATCCAGTTTTTGGTACTGGAGTGATACTGGCCGTTCTCCAAATGTCCGGGATCACCCTCGTAGTGGGGCATTTATTAAAGAGGCCTGATAAAGGCAGTGTGAGAGAATCAGCACACTCCTTCAAAGCTGATGGTGAGAGAGCATCCGGACCACAAGCTTTGGTTGCCTTTAATCTTTT